AGAAACACCCAAGGGCAGGTGAAACACAAGAGCGTCTTCATCCTATTGAATCTGATAAAGTTCTCTGGTTAACATACAATGAAAGTCACCTAGTATACTTATCTGAGAATCTAAATATCATTAGACACTCCTTTGGGAAGTGAATGTCTTCATATCTTTCTAGGGGGACTTTTTTTCTTTACCACTGTTTACCTGCTATTAAATTCTTGACCCTTAAGTCTTATCTTAGATTCTGTTTCCAGCAGACACTATCAGAGTTCTGATATTGCCAAATCTGAATTTAACAGCAGGAAGCAATGTCAACTGTGTCGTGCAGGTCATGAAGAACGGAAATGCAGCCCACATGTAAGACATATGTAAAAAGTAGGAAAAAAAACAACAGTATCCAAAATTCCTAGAAATATAATTGCCTTCAAAAGATATTTCATTTGGAAAAAGGCTAAATATCCTTTCTTTTATAGCCTGGCTGACCTGAGATGCCCTAAGACAGAGAGGAATCGGCAGAGACACATCCTCAACTTGTCCCAGGCCTAAGCTGTGACAACAGATGAGGACTCATGAAAGATCATTAATGAAAATAAAAACTGATAAATGTATTTCTATACAAAAGTTCAGTAATGTCTTATTCTTTGAATTCCTTGAACAGCCTCTGAAGGCACATTGTGCAGTGACAGTGCTAATTCCATCCAACCAGCCAGGCTAGATGGTGGTGTACTGGCAGGAGCCAACGCCAGTGAACCCAGGGAAATCACATCCCTTCATCCCGGGAACTCCTTCCTGATTTGGTCTGTGTCCACATGGCATTCCAGATGCCACCACTGCATAGAGACTACCTGCAGGGTCAATGCAGCCCCCCCTCCCCATCCCCTGGGAGTCCCACACTCTGTGGCACCACTTCCCACAGGAGAGACAGCCTCAGTCCTCACTGCCAACAGTCTTCTGGAGAGCTCAGTTGGCAGGGTCTTTTGAGTATATGTGGCCTGTCACTTAGCCCTGTCACTGAAGGATAACATTTCTGTGATTACTCAGTACTGACGTTTTATTATTTAATATTAAACCCCCCTCAGAAATCCCTAGCCTGATAAGCTAAAAATGAGGTCTGAAAATAAAGCAGCTGGCAAATCTGATTTGCAGGAACCCAAATGGCATTTTGTCAGAGGGGAACTAATTACCAACCTGACGGGATTTCAATCACCCCCATCTATGAGGTGGGGTCTGCTCCTCTCTGTGGAGATGATCGCACATGTGCTCTTCAGCAAGAGACCCCATCTCACCAAGTCTCCCGAGTCTACTATTATGCAAACTAGTGGTAAAGCAATTACATGCTCCAGAAGATTAAGACTAGAAATTCTGCCTTCAGAGAATTGTCATTTTCACCTCTTAAAATGTAAATTCTTGCCAGATGTTCAGATGCCTTTTTTTTTTCACACAATGTCACCTAATGATCTGCAGCCCCTCTGCACGTGATTTCATCCAGATTCCAGGAAAGAGAGCTGACAGAACCCCAAGGCTCCCCTCCGGAGGTCGTCCCAAGACGTGGAGGCCCAGCAGAGCAAATACACATTTCTTCAAGCTTTTCAGGCTACATGGCGGCTGGGCAATGACTGTTACCAAGCAAAAGACTCCAAATGGACAGGGATGAAGTTTGAACAGAGAACAGAGGAGGAAGAGTGTAAGTTCAACAGGAGACCTTTTACCCCTACCCCTCACCCCTGCAGGGCTGGAGGAGAAATGGTGGTGTGTTCATGGATGGAGAGAGGCGTAGCTCTTACACAGCTGGCCAACAGCGGCGCTGCATGCCACATGATGGCCATCGCTAAGAATGTGGTCAGCAGAAGGTGGCCACTTGCTCCAGGCCTCCTCCACGACCCTCATGCCAGCCAAATAGAGGGCATCTAAGACCTTACTCGTGAAAATAAAAACCAAGGCCTAGAGACATTCTGTAAGCCCCCTATGAGGATCAGTCAGGAGGGATGAGCTGAGGGCCTCCCTGGTGGCACAAGGGGTTAAGCGTCAGCACTATGAAGCTGTCCGCAGTCTCTGCAGCACGAGTTCAATCCCCAGCCAGGGAGCCGACCCACATGGTGCAGCAGACCTCTTCTGGGTCACCCGCTGCTCCCCTCAGCAGCGTATTTCAGTCAATCTGACTGTTCTGCTCCCCATTCTGTCTCTGGTGATCCCCTCACCCCCCACACCTCTGGCCTGTACTCCAGTTCTTACATGCATAAATAAATATTTAAAAAAAAAAAAAAAAAGAAGGGAAGAATTGATAAAAAAAAAAAAAAAAAGGCACTTTTTCCACCCTCTTTCACTGTCCCTGTAGGAAAACACCAGGGTGTCTGTTGCCCACTTAGGTTCACGAAGCCTCCTCACAGTGTTGAACAACTCCATCGGGTGTTAATAAAAAATGCACATTTCATCTTAAAGTTAACTAAAATAACCGCATTCCACTTATTACTTAAAAAATAAACCAACTAGGGCCTCCCTGGTGGTGCAGGTGGTTGAGTGCAGTGCTGTGAAGCTGTCTGCAGCCTCTGCAGCGTTGGTTCAATCCCCGCCGGCTGCGGAGCAACCCACATGGCGCAGCAGAGCTCTCCTGTCTCACCTGCTGCTCCCCTCAGCAGTGGATTTCAGTCAGTCTGCCTGTTCTGTTCCCTACTCTGTCTCTGGTGAGTCCCCTCACCCCCCACATCTCTGGCCTGTACCTCAGCTCTTGTATGCATAAATAAATAAATCTTTAAAAAAAAATAAACCAACTAACTATAAAACAAAATACAATATGATGAAGGGGGTAGGGGCAGGAGGAGGAGACCAAGCATGGAATTGCTGGTTCTTCTCTGTGGGGCTTCACTAAAGGCAGGAACTCTTGGGAGACAGGCATGGAGGGTCCTGATGGGTCTAACTCTGGTGGCTACGCGGGGAAGGATCTCCATTCTCACACCCAGAGCAGGGCCTTGCCAGGAGTCACCACGTGAGGAAGGCCTCTGCCCACGACAACCGCAGGTTGTCCTGTTTGCAAACACCAGTGGTTTTGACACTCTGGGGTCCCGGGTCAGCAAGGGCACCAGCCAGCACTGCCTCCTTCTGCAGCCGGTAGCCCCAAAACACGCACGCTGCAAAGCACATGGAAGCAAATTGACCCCCAGGACGGAATACTGCATCCATAGCCACTAAGGTTCTGGTGAGAGAGTAAACCCAGAGAGTCCTCATGTCACACGCAGGGCGGAAGGCATCTTCACATCCAAGTTTATGAGGACCCCAAATGTTACTGTGATGGCTAAATTATATGTCACCTGGCCTCAGCCACATGAGTATGAATCCGGTGCCACAAATACCAGGAACATGTCAGGTTAACAAGCAAATCAGTAGACTTTGAGTAAGCAACGGCCTTCCATAATGTGGGTGGGCCTAAGGCTGAAGGTCTGAAAAGCAAGGACAGGCTTCTCAAAGAAGACATTCAAGCTGGAGCACAGAAACCCGGAGTGAGTTTCCAGCTGCATTACAGATATTGAACTTGCCTTTCCCATTAGTGCATAAGGCATTTCCTTAGTCAGTTTAGGTAGACAGATGCGGACAGGTAGGCAGACAGACACAGAGACATACCGTTTCTCTGAAAAATCCTAACTAATACTGTTGCCAAGTAGAGAAACAACCTCATCGCTTTGCATTTCAGAGCAGAGAACAAAGGGGCACTTGGCAAAAGATGAACCCAATGATGTCTCAGAAAGGCAGAGAATTAAAAGTCTCTATGAAAAAGGCTTTCAACACCCTTCAAATACTTATTTGCACTTTCCACTACATCCTTTAATTGATTCATGAGTGTGAGACTGCTCCTTTGAAAGGTGTGGGCCAGGCACTGAGGCACCTGAGGGGAAATTTGGGTTCAGTGTGGTCACAGCACAGAACTGTATCTGCTAAGAGGCATTTCATACCTGCATTTAAAGGTGACTCGTCAACAACACCTGCTTTGTGGGAGGGCACTGAAAGCACCAGAGAAGCACCAGCTCAGAGCTAGACAGAGTCACGTTCACGGACAACTGTCTGGGACCCTTGTGGTTATACCGAAGTCACCCCCACAGCAGAGCCATGCAAGGATAATTAGCCTAACATTGGAAAGACCAGAAAGTGACATTGTAGGAGACTGTTGGAGCGCAGAACAGAAAGCTGAGCAGAGTCCAAAGAAGACACTTGCTGGTGAGACAGGGCACAGGGAGCAGCCGTCCAGGTGCTGCAGGAGCAGAGCCAGGAGTCAGCGCCCTGGGGTGCTGGCAGCCAGGGGGCCAGTGGGACATGTGTGGGAATCACAGTGCTGGGCAGTGTGCTAAAGAGCCAGCGTGCACAAGGATGGAGACGTGGGCAGAACAGAAAGAGGAGAAAGAGTTGCTGAGTGTCTTCTTTTCAGACCACACCAGATGGTTTCGCCGACACAAATCTTGACTAGTGACTATGCTGACTTCTGAGCATCAAAATGTACATCAAAAAAAAAAAAAACCCACCAAAAGCCAGTGACACAAATGCAGAAGACATCTGAAACATGAATGCTGAGACCTCTGAACATTTACACAGTCACAGGGCCTGTAACACATACTGCGCAAGAGGAAGAATTTTAATAGACAGCACCACTCTGGACGGGCTGCCATCTACTTCTCATACACTTTGAAACAGACAAACACATCCCATCCACCCCCAACACAGTATTCAAGATCTGCCATACAGCAAAAGCGTGGGGTAATGTAGGGCAATCGTTAGCAACGATTATGCCAGGAAAAGATTAAGCCTGGCTATGATTTTCTTCATTTTGCTTACTTGTGTGTTTCCATTTTTCTGCAACTGCTCACAGAAAGAGGCCGGGGCATTCAGAAAATGCAGCCAAGAGAAAGTGCATGAGCAGCGTCCACGTCTGTGTTCAGCTACACAGCCGGCCAGGTCTGGCCCAGAGGCAAAAGAAAAGGGGAGCCCTGGAGGCCGCAGGAGGGTTTGGGTTCATGGACGGTACCCACCTGGGTCGCAGAGGCACTTGTAGCTGGTGCCCACGCTGCGGCAGGTGCCGTGGGCGCAGGGGCTGAGCGCACAGAAGTCCACGAGCTGGGCACAGGTGGGGCCGGTGAAGCCCGCGCTGCAGCTGCAGCTGAAGCGCACGCCGTCGGGGTAGCACGTGCCGTTGTTCTGGCAGGGCGCCGAGGCGCATGGGTCCACCTTCTCCTCGCAGGTCGGCCCCAGGTACCCTGTGAAGAAATGCAGAGGGCGCAGGGGCAGGAAGAATGAAACAGGTGTCCAAGGAACAGCTCACCCACCAAGCCCCCAGTTCTTCACCGGGGGGCAAACCACTGTCAGCGGGCTAGCCCATTCATTCCTCTTTCCAGACAGACCCAGCCTAAGGAGGCGGGTCAGGCCGGTTCTCTTAGCTTTGCTAAGTGGGGCTTACAAACTGAAGCTGTGGGATTGCATTGTTGGGATGGGAAGCGGACATGAGGGGGTCTGCTGAGGTTGGTGGAAATGTAGCCTATGGGATTATGGCGATGTCTGCCCAGCTCTACATGTACTGTGAAGCACTGAATTGCAAACTTAAATGAAATTTCTGATTGGTAACTGACCTCAATCAAAACTTTTAAAGTGGTTAATTTTGAAATGTGTTTATTCTACAAGTGGCTTTATTTTGGAGTGTGGGTGTCTCAGTATCTCAGCTTTAAAAATTAAACATAAATGGGTATAATGTGCGTGTTGACCGGTCTGGGTGTCCATGTAGGTATTTAACAATGCTTTGGCAAAATCTATTTTAATCAACCATTAAATCAAGATTATTCAAATTTTAGAAACAAAAGTTAACTGATTTTACTCATCTATAGTTTTTATTCCTATGTTCTGTCTCATTTATGTTTATGTTTACCCACCTTCACACCAAAGAACTCCTAGCAATATTGGGAGTTTTTGTTGTTATTGCTAAGGATACAGTGAATGTATGAAACAAACAAAAATAGCTCCCAGACTTAATTACCTGAAGCATCACTCACCAATTGGCATAATCAACCTGGCATTCTTCTGTGCAGAAATAGAAAATTCAAAATGAAAGTCTAATGCTGTTATTCCACACTTTAAAGTTCCTGGTCATTTAAAATTTTAGAAATCAGACTAAACATGAACCATACAATCAGTTTTAATAACACTTGAATTCTCCAAAGAGTCCCTTCACACTCTAGAGCAGAATATAACTCTATCCTTCGTGAGATTTTTCCATTTTACTCTGATTGAAAGAAGATAATTAGACACTTATCACCATATGACAAACTGCAACCCAGGCAGATCCGGAGCTCTCTAATCTCCTGCTGCCTCACTCTGAAAACAAGGCAGAAGTTATTTTCTTCATAAAGTTACTGCAAGCTCCAAAAAGATAGACATCAACATGCCAAGAACATGATGATGAATGAATGAATGAATGAATGAAGGTAACAATAATAGAGACAGTGGTCATCCCCTGGGAGCCAATATGAACCACATGGTTTTAAGCCTTCATATGCACTATTTTACTTAACCTAACCCCACAGGGAATGGGAAAGAGCTAAGAGCAAGCAGCTCTACTTTGCATCATGAGAATGGCAACACGGAATTGTAAAATAATGTAAAATAACCTCATCAAGTTTGCATAGCTGGAAGACAGCAGAGCTAGGCTGCAAATTTCAAGCTCTTTTCTCCTGTGTTGCACTTCAGAGAAGAGAAGTGAAAGATGGATCAATTGAGACATCAGGATGTATAACATAACTAGAACTTGTGTTTCTATTCTGTTTGTAGCTTGGTGAAAAAAGAAATAAGCTTGATTGTCAATCAAGCCAAATAAAGGAAAAACAAATTTCAGAAAGGCAATCACTCTAAACTCACATTGATTTACTCAATTACAAATAATGCATAATCCATATAGAATATTCCCAGCAGAGAGGGGGACAGGCCAGGAGATGTGAAGGGTCATGATGCTGGGTGGACCCATATTTCAATAAGGTCAAGAGAAGCATGTATATTAACATCAGTGAGGGCACTGGTCAGAGGCGGGATCAAGTATGGTCCTATATGTCACACCAAAGAGTTTGCATTTCATCCTGAGGCCACTGGACAGCACATAAGGGCTTATTATTTTTTTTTTTTACATTCATAAATGCAAGCCAAGCCATGTGAAGTGTGAATTAGTAGATGTTAAGGCTGGAAGCAGAACCAGGTGTTAATTCAGTAATTGAGGTGAGAGGTTATCAGGACCAATTTGTAGCAATATGGGTAAAGAATGTGAGACAGATTGGACAATGATTTTACAACTAGCTCTGTCAGTTCAGGGAGCAAATGGATAGTAGAATAATAAACAAGAGGGAGAGTCTAGGATTACCATGAGAACAAGAGCCAGAAACTCAAATGCCAGCAAGAGTAGGCAGATAATGAGGAAGTGAGCTAGTTGTAAGACAATAGGGGGTGTTGGGGACTATGGCAAATTGGGAAATGCACACCCCTTCCAAACTAGGTGGGTGTCGTTCACCTGTAGCCAACTATTATCATTTGGAATGCGAGGCCAGTTACCAGATCGTATGAATTTTCAAAAATTATTTGAAATCCAGATACTGTTTGAGCCCTCCCTATTTTAAAATGTTAATAAATCATTTCTCTAGTAAGTAAAATAGGTCTTTGGTTCCTGTATATGTGGCTTTAAGTCAGTGACTGAATGTTAAGGCACAGACTTTGGCGCCAGAGGGAATTAAGTTTTAATACCATCTCTGCCCCTAAACAGTGGGACCTTGGGCAAGTTAATCCCCCTGATCTGTTTCTTCATTCATGGAATGAGGTAGTAATGCATACAATATAAAGTTTTTATTAAGCTCAAGTTCGAAAATCTATCTGAAACATTTGGCACCAGGACTGGGAAATAGGAAATATCCAGTCAGAAGCAGCTGTAAGTTTAATGTGATTCCCAGGTTTTCCAGATCAGGATACAAGGTGGTGAGGTGATGGAAAATACAAAGAGATTTCTAGGGGTGGATTGTGAGTTCAGCTTTGCCCAGGTTGTGTTAAGGTACTTTTGTGGTTATCCAGCACTCAGGTGACTATACATAGATCCAGTGCCCAGGACAGGGATCTGAATTAGAGCACATGGAGTAGCAGTCACATGCATATGGGTGGGAATTGAATTCACACATTCAGATGCTAACCCTTGAGGCAAGTGAATGCTGAGACTCTGGACAACTGTAATAGTGAGAAGCACCGGAAGAAGAGGAGACAGCGCCTGTCTCACTGATAGCCCCTCCTCTGTGCTCTGTGCCTCTCGCTCTCTCTCACTCTTTCTCACCCTGTGGGGCACCTGAGTGACTGAGCTCTCTCTTCCTTGGCATCAGGGGACATAGCCTATTTGTCCTTCTATCCCTATTGTCTATCACACAGCCTGGAAACTGGTAAACCTTGGGTGGGAGATGGACAGACAGGAGGAAGAACAGAGGGACAGAGAGACAGAAAGATTAATATGTTTTAAGACAGTCACGAGGGACTCCACTGTTTCAGTGTCACCAAAAACAATGGAGAAAGGAATGTCATGAACAGAGTTTCAAACCCGTCACTGATCCCTGCTGAGAAGCCACGTCAGCAAGATCAGGCTACCCTGCCAGAAGACGAGGGCCCACCCAGAACAAACCAAGCCAGCCCGGGGAGGCAGGGCTGGAACCGCTGGCCACCAGTAAATCTGCCAGTGACCAGTGGCATCCAGTCACACTGCCAATCTGCAAGGAACATGAGTTAAATAAATGGCTATTGCTTTAACCACTAAATTTGGGGTGGGTTGTTAAGCGGCACAAGCTACCTGATACAAAGTGATAGCAGATATAGAATTGTATCTAGATGACGATGTAAGAGCAAGGGGACTTTGCTTTATGGGAAAGACCTGAAAGCATAATTGATTCTATACTAGAAGCACATTTAACTAAGTGGAGATTAATCAATACTTGTGGACTTGATGATCAAAACGGTTCATAGCTATCAAATCAGTATCAATAAGTACATTGATTGTAAATGGACCAACAATGCATTTAAAAGGCAGAATTTAAAAAAACAAACAAGATCTAACTACATGTTCTTTAAAAGAAACCCACTTAAAAATAAAAAAATAAAATAAATGGGAAGGAAAAAAAATAAAGGATGTGAAAAGACACACCAGGAAGGGCATAAGCATGAGAAAACTGGTGTGGCTACAACACATCAGAAAAGGGAGACTTCAGGAATAGAAGGATTTCAGTGATAAAGAGGGATGTCTAATATGGAAAAAGTAGGCAATCTATCAGAAGATATGACAATCCTAATGTACAGGCACCTAGAAAGAGAACTTCAAAACACATGAAAGCAAGCACACAGCCAGAGAGAGAGAGACAACCAACCAGGCACTGTCAGAAAGACTTCTTCCTTAGGACCACGTATTGACAAAATGAGCTAGTGTGTGCAATATTTAAAAACCACTGTGATATGGATGTTGGTAGTGGGAATTAGGCTGAGAGAAATAAGCCAAACAGGAAGACAAACACCACATGACTTCACTCATATGCAAAATACAGAGAAAACAAACAGAAGACCTAAATAAAACAAAAACTAACTTTTGAACTCTAAGACCAGCTCACAGTTACCAGATGATAAGGGAGATGGTGGTGAGCAGGCTGGGGAAAAGGAAACACAGACATGGTTGAAAGACAGATCTGGGTTTCCAGCAGTGAACTTGGTCTAGTATATTCACAGGCATACGTTGATTCTCAACAACGAACATTTGAAATTTATATAATGTTATAAGGCAGTATTATTTCAATTAAAAATAATTAAGGATTTAAAAAACACTATGGGCCATAAATATTTACATAAAACTGCACTCAAAGACTCAGAAAACGAATTCTTTTCACATGCATATGAAACAAGTCAATTGTTTCAGTAGGTAGGGGAAAATATTTGACAAAAACCAACACTCATTTATTATTTTAAAAAGAAAAACTATCAGCAAACTGAAATAGAAGGTCCTTACTCCATCTGGTAGGACAAAAAAAAAAAACCTTGCATGCAGGTAACATCACATCTAAAGGTGAAGTCATGAATAATTTCCCTAATATAGAGAACAAAGCAAGGATGTCCATCCTCAGCATTTATATATTCAATAATTTACTAAAGATTCAAATACACAATAAGGCAAGTAAAAGAAATAAAGCATGAAACATGGAAAGTAAAAAGT